TTTAGAGCTCTAAAATAAAGTGGATAGAAAAAGTATGATTTTCATCTTGGTGTTCTGCTCACCTCGCACCAAGTCCTGAACCTGGCAATTAGGGTCGATTGGCTGGACCCAAACACATTCGCTTAGAAGGGAGACACACGGGGGAATCCCACCACGGGCCTTTATTCGGCACTAGTGCCCCAGTCACCACTAAGGGGGAACCCTGCAGCTGAAAAGGTCCTGTGGGATTTCTCCTTCTGAAAAAATTGTTCACCCAATTTCTCTGCTCGCAAATTTGGAGAATTTCTAAAGGTTGACGACACCCCATTCTAATTTTAATATTGCCTTGAGCCCTAGTTTCTGCCACCAGATCTCCGTTCCCATGTGAGAAGGAAGCTTGAATATCAATGTGAATGCAAGCTATGTCCTTCCTGTGTGAACCACACCTTCGTTTACCTCCATTCAGCGTCTCTTTGCCTCTGCTGAGCAGGCTTTCAAAAATTCTTCCAGGTTGTTATATTAACATGAGGAGCCCTTTTTTCCAAGCTGCTTTGACTGCTTTTCAAGTAGCACAATGGGAAACAAATTTTTTAAACGAATAAATGATTGTGCTTTATTTAAATGTTATATACATACGTTATAAGCCACTTTAGGGGAACCCTGTTCATCAGAAGACAAAGGTAAACATGTGACTAAGTCAAAGGCACATGCATGCCTTCTCCATCTCTTTTCCTCTCTGAGTAGAAGAACATCTGGGTGAAAATTTTTAACAAATAGCAGGAAGAGAAAATTATCCATCAGCCTCTCTTCTAGCATTTTTGAAATTAAGACCTGTAGACTATTCAGGCTGTTTTGGAGTTTAGACAACCACACACCTTAAACGAGAGCTACTGCATCACTGCCAGACCCAAAGGTCCAGTCTCTCTAAGGGATTTCCACCAAAAGTACGGAAGCAACCACATGACATTCCATCAAGGTTTTATTCAGCTCTTGGTGTCACAGGAGCCCCTGCGTATCTGCCGGTGTTCAGTGTCCAGGAGACCTCCTCAGCTGCATCAACCCAATCAGTGGAATCTTTTCACACTTGCTTTTCTTCTTCAGGGACATTGTCATGATCACCATCGGCACCATTCCCCACAACTTCAATTTCTAACTCATGATGCACTTCTTCTGGAAAACCATTTAGATTTTTCCAGATAGAATACTTGGCATCCCAAAGGGCTTCCACCATGTCCCACATTTTGCTTTTTTCTTCCTGGAGACCTTGGTCATTGTCCCGGAGAGCTATGTATTCATTCCAGAGAGACATTTTGTCCCTGGATATGGCCATGTCTTCTTCCCAGAAGGTTTTGTCTTTCTTCCAAAATGCTTTGCATTCCTTCCAGAAGGCCTTATTCTTTTCTTCCACATTTTCCACCTTTTCCTGAAGGGCCTTGTTCTTCTCCCGCATGCTCTTGTTTGCTTCCTGGAACTCTTTGTTCTTCACCTGAAAAGCCTTGATGGCATTTCGGAAAGATTCGTTTCTTTCTTCCAAGGAGCCAATCTCTTCCTCCGCCACCTTGATCTTTTCCTGGAAAGTCTCTATCTTCTCTTGAAAGACTCTCACCTTCTCCTGAACATCTGACTTTTGGGTTTGAAGCAGCTTGACGTCTTCCATGAAAACCCAGCTCTCTCCTAAGAAGTCCTTGATCTGATCTAAAAAAGCCTTGTTCTTCTGTTTGAAAACATGGATCTCTCCCCATAAAGCTTTTATCTTGTTGTCCTCTTGAAAGTCCTTGATCTCCCCTCGCAGTTCCCTGCACCTCTCCCACAATCCCTTAATTTCTTCTTGCAGTGCCTTTTTCTCTTCTTTCAGATTGCGTTGTACCACCTCCTTCTGCAAGGCAGGAAAAGGGGTCATATGATGCCAGCTCTCCTGTTGGTCAGAAATAGGGGGAGGAGCATTGGTACTGTTGTCAGAAGAATTGGCCTGATTTAGAGACAACTCCAACTTTTTCTTCCTGTTATCCATTTGCTCAAAGCTATAAGCAGAGAAAAAAAAGAGTTAAAGAAATATTTCTGTCACTAGACTTTAGAGGGGTATTTGTGAAATTTGGAGGACTTTGGAAAAACTATTCACCCAAATTCTCTAGAACTACAAGTTAGGCAAAGAATTTAGAAAGGATTATTTCGAATTTTGTAACATAAAATACGGATCACGTGTCATGCCCCCCACCCCCGGCTTTCTTGGAGGTCCCAACCATAATGGAAGTTGACTCAACCTCGGCTCCCATCTCAGAGGCGAACCAAAAGATCTTTCCTTTGACGATCTTAGTTTTGCTCGCATTCACAGACGGGAACCCTAACCCTGTCCCTTGTCACTTTTGTACACATGTTTGCTTGCACAATTAAAAGCTGACTCCTACATTTTTATTTATATATTTTATATTTATACAGTTTATAAACTGCCTGACTCCCAGTGCCTCAGGGTGGCTTACAATTAAAAGTAAGAAAAAAATACAGAAAAGAAATTATAAGCAGCCTGAAGCAAACATATAAACCCAAATCCTCCATCCAACAGGGCCCCTGCCCCAAAGCCTGGGAGAACAGCGAGTTTGTAATCAGTCCTATCCCCTAGTCATGCTTACATAGGACAGGGGCTGATAGCCAAATCCCCCAAAACCTCTGAATGGGAGCAAGAGGGAATCTTAGCAATCCACAGCAGAGGAAAAGTAAAACCACCTTATCTTCGTGCAGACGTTTGATCTGTGTCTACTCTGAAGGGCTTTCAAAAAGTTGCCGATGGAGACAGTCTTCTGAATTGAAACCCAAGGATTCAGCCCAACTTTTTGCTAGGAATCTTTTCAGAAGAGGCCAACCAAATACAGCCCTTTGTACAATATATATGAATTAGATAATGTTGGGAACGTGAGGATCCTGATGGCTTGGTAGCGGGGAGATCTATATTTTGCCTTCAAGATCTGAAGCTAGGTGCCTCTCAAAGGGGGTCGGGAGAATAGTGAGTGTTCGCCCTGCCCAAGCGCTTCTTAAGAAGGATTTGGTTGGCCACTGGGAGAAATCGGCTGCTGGACCACAGAGGGCTCTTCTTCAGCTTTTAAAATGATCTTAATAACGTAAGTCAAGATGCCTTGAATCCATCCCACACAAGCCGATCTGCGATGGCCACCGACCTGCAACACCTCCTCCTGTTCTGTTGATGTTCCCTTTGTTAAGAACTCTGCTGCCACGGCAGCCAGGCAACATTAACAAAACAAACCTAGAACATCTGCAGATCTCTGGATTCTGACATGAGAATAATCAGGCGGTCAGGGATCCTGGCGGTGTTTTTTCTCCTGAGCTCCCACAGAGCATGTTTCCAGCAAGCTCATTAATCAAGAGAGAAGACGTTTTTGATGCTCAGGGGAAAAAGGAACAAGGATGAACATCATGATTATTAGGAAATAATCCAAATAGATACTTAGATGAATAACTAGGGAAAGAAATGGAAGGAAATAATAGGCATGTTACAACCACTCATCTCTCCATGGAAATTTTTATTTGAGATTTTTAAGCCAAAGTAATCTCAAACAAAGCCGTTATGGATAATGGCTGTATTTCCGTTTTCATCCTGAGACTAAAAAAAATATCTAATAGGTCCCTGAGAACTTTTCCCAGTGGTCCAACTCTTCCTTCCAAAGGGCCACTGCTTCTTTCCACCCATCTAGCTCCTCTTTCCAAAGATCTTGCTCCTCCTGGAAAGTCTTCTTGATGGCCCCAAAGAGTTCCATGGTCTTCATCCAAAGATGTATGTTTTGCTCGCAGATGGCTGCATTTCTCCCATCCGTGTTCTTGGAGATCTCCCTGATCTTCTGCCAGAATGCCATCAGCTTCTCTTTTCTGCACTGGTTTTGCTTCTTCAGTGTCTCCATGGCATCTTGCAAAACAGCTTCCCTTTTGGAAAGGTTCTGGTTCATCCTGCCTTCGTTCAGCCCCAGATTTATACTGGAAAATTCAGATTCTTCATTAGCATTACCATTGAGTGGGAGAGAAAAATGCTGAGAAACTATTGCATTTAAAGGAATATCCACCTATGTCTGCTCACAAAAGCACACCTCTCCCTTCTGAAACAGTAGTAGCTCATGAAAGGGATTATGACATCAACTGCTCTCATGCAGATCAGCTCTGCTATGGAAATTTCTTCAGCCCCTGGGCACCCCCTTAACCCGCACTCCCTGACTCTGTTGGGCAGCTCGCATCTTCCCCAATTCCCTGCCAGTTTGGGGAATCAGAGCGCTCTAAAGAAAGGAAAATCAGAAGAACAGAGAAGTATTCAAGATAAGGACGGAATTGCTGTGCCTTCTCTGAATGGAGAAGTCCCCCATTTCTTGGGTAAAGGGGCATTTTCTGCAAATCCTTGGGCGTGAATGTGAGTGTATTTATCTGAGTCAGACACTTGCATGCCTGCACTGCGGTGGCATTCATCACTTGAGGGTATTCGCAGCTGCTAAATATTTAGCTGGGAATGTTCACTTGATCCGTCTCCTCCTTGCTATACCCTAGAAAGCTGTCAAAGAGTTGTTAGCCCCGGAAAGTGACAGCTGTTGACAGGTGTCACATTCAGTTGCTCTCTACCCAGCTGTTCCCAGCAGGTTAACCTCATCTTCCTTTTGCTCCAGAGGAAGCCGAATTAGGGCAGCACAAAGCAAACATGACGTCCTTGTGGTTTGATCCGAGCCGTCGCCATAACCCACATCTCTGTTCATTACAAGCAAGATCGCTGCCTCCCGTGCCGAGAAGCGTCTGCTACAGATTGTCCTGCGTTGCAGGTGGGAGGAGAAGGTTTCGCCTCCTTCCGGGTCCCCGGGTGTGTTGCGGGATGCCAGCGAAGACAGACGGAAACGTGCAGTCTCCAAGGGGAAGGAGCCTTGGGAAGGCTCGAATGGTGAGCCAGACGTACTTGTCTGCCAGGCAAAACAGTGATCCGTTGAAAGCTCTGACACGTTCACACCTCTGGAGAAAGCTACTTTTCCCAGGGCAACCACACAAACAGAGCCACAGAAACACCACGCAAATTGAAGAGAAACACATCCTGTGTTGGGAGGGGAAGGTGGGAAGCCTCTCTCGGCTCAGGGATGGAGCCTTGAACGAACGGGAGTTGTGGGGAGGGGCTGGGAGCTGGGCAGGTGGCAGGAAGACCTTGAAGAAGAGCTTCCAGGTTGACCCTGGGAAGCCCACAAGCAAAGGGCAATGTGACATCCTCGCAGGACCATCTGCTCCTATACCTGGAGGTTCCACTCTGAGGAGAAACTGCTCTTAGGGTTGATAGGGCTGGCGGTCTGAACTCTCTGGAAAGCGCCTGGCAGGGCAGGAAGGCCACTGGGGAAGACACGCGGTCTCATGTCACCTTCCTCCACTCACTCCTGCCGCGTCCTCCGAGGACAGAGTGACAGCGCTTCTCCAGATGAAGGTGGCTATTTTTGCTGCAGCCCTTGCCCTCCTTATTTCTCAGCCTGAAGCAACCTTCCTTCCACTGCCCTGCTCCACCAGCTCCGGTTTCTTTTCCTCCTGTCTTTTTTCCCTCCTTAAAATAATAACAACAACGTGAAATCCAGTTTGGTAAAACTAACGACAGGGACTTTGCGTGGCTTCCTCTGTATGCCTGGCACTTGGCCTCTGCAAGAGTTTATGAGATGCGTCAAAAGGCATTTGCGGTGGTGCACAGCACTAAATTAAAATCCAGTTGTAAGCAATTTGCTTGCAAATAAGGAGATGGCATTCCTGGCCCGCGTCCAATGTTATTAAGAAAAAGGGTGTGTGGTTTCCTTACGAAGTGAACATCTAGCCAAACAGGCAGTCTTTTTCTTTGCTCAATTGTCAACAGAAATCCATCGTTGCAGGGACAATGGGGCGCATGATGGGTGGAAAACAGGGAAGGCAATCGAGGCACACTCAGCTGGGTCAGTGGCAGCAGGCAAGCTAAACGTGATTGCTATTAACCTGGTTAATACAGCTGGGTTTGTTAGGGATCATCATATTGGGCCAAACCAGGAAATGTGATCATTTAGGTACCAGGAATACCTGTTATAACCCAGCACTTTTCTGCCCTGAGTTGTATTCAGTCCGGACTGAAGGAATTTCTCTTCTGCCCTGATCTACGAGCCTCAAAGAGCCCAGGAATTGGCCAAGAATGGGCAATTTTCTTGGGTGTCCTGGCAACCAGTGGGTATTTCCAGCCGTCATTTCCCCGCAGGACCCTCTGGGGGAGGATGACGAAGGAGAAGCAGGAGCTCCTACCCAGACAAGACCTCGAGAAGGGTCAGAGGAATCCATCGCGCCCCTCTGCTGTGCCGCCGCCTCCTCCCTTGGCTCAGTGAAGACTGCGGCCAATTAAAGGGGATTGTTGTCAGAAATTGCACAGCCTGAAGCTTTAGCTTGACGGAGCAAATCAATACGGAGCGTTTACATTTAACAGAACCAGAAACACCCACAGAGAATGCCTCTTAAAAATTTAACTTGGAGTTGGCTTAGTTGGGTCTTGTGCCATCCAGAAATGCGAGGTCTGCAGAATTTTGAGATCGACTCAGAGGGGAGAAATTCTAAGACTGCATAAACTCAGAGGCCTTCCCCACAAGAGGCTACAGCCGGGAGAGATCTGTTTCTATGGGCGGCCCCAATTCTGAAAGGGCTTCCTCAAGGAGGCGCTCCTAACTCCAGCGCGGCTGCCTTGTTAGTACCCGGGGAAAAACATTTTTGTTCTTTCTGGCCTTTGAATATATCACAGTATGTTAATATGTTGTGATCTACTATTAAAATGCATCGTTTGGATGCTGCATAGAAATTTTTTTAACTACTCTGACTGCTGCTTTTATGGTTTATTTGTGCAATTTCCTTATTCAGATTTTTTTTTTTTTTAATGTACAGCAGGCTGCCCTGGAAATTTTGGGCTTCAAGGAAAGCAGAACATCCCCTCAAGAGCCCGTTGAAGCCCAGGGGTACAAAAGATGGAAGGCTGGCAGGAGGATGCTGGGAAAGGGGCAAGAGATGGAGGGATGTTTTCAGGACGTGGCCGGAAGACTTCACACTGCAACAGTGGCTCCACCTGGAGCAGTCATTAAGAGGCACCACACCTTGACCTGGACAAGGAGAAGCAGGGAGAGGTCACATCCAGTCAGTAGTTTTTGTCTTAAGGATGACATCTCATTGCCATGTCCATCTTTGGTAAAAATTGACATTGAGCATAGCGTGTTCATAAATGTCCCAGATAAGGCTATGGGCAGAGGAGAAGGGGGAAGGGGAAGGGGAAGGGGAAGGGGAAGGAGAAGGAGAAGGAGAAGGAGAAGGAGAAGGAGAAGGAGAAGGAGAAGGAGAAGG